GGCCCGGTTCCTTATCTCCTGGCTCTGCTCCTTCCTGGACTGGGTTTTCAGTGGTTCCACATATCCACTAATGCTTGTTCTGAACTCTATCCCACCAGTATTTATGGAGTGCCTACTACACACTGTTCTTTCCCACTACACATAATAGACAGATGGTTGACCATCCACAAAGTCTGCTCTGTGCCTGTCTCAGGTGCCTAGGGGCCTCCCTACTACTCCCTGACCCAAGAGAGGGCAGGTGTGTACCTGTCCCACCCTGAGACCCAACTGAAATCCTTGAGGGCTGAGTGTCAGTTGACTCGGATCATCCCGCTCTAGGAAACATTTCACAAACCTCACTCTCCAAGGCCACCTTCTCTTTCGATATCAGTATGTCCTGGGCCCCATGGGCACTGTGCACCACTAACTGCTTCTTCATGTAACCTAGGCTATGAGCTCTGGAGGGCTGGCACAGGTCATACTCTTTTCTGTTTCCCATAAGATCTGACACAACCCATACAAACAGTAAGGGCTCACTGTACACTGTAGAGGGAGAGTGTCGGGGCTGGGGGCTCTGGTTCAGGGAGGAGCTATAGCCATCCATGAGGCCCCACACCCAAGGCTGGCTGTGTAGGCAGGATGCTAGTGGTCATAGGAGCTCTGGCCTCTTTTCTGAGTGATAGTACCACCCAGGCCATGACATCACCCCAGATGGAGGGAGGCACGAAGGCTCCAGCACTGAATAATTCCCTGTCACTTGCAGGGACTCAGCCGCCTTAAATGAGTCTCACTACAACAGGCCCAGTCTTTCCATCTGGACTTATGAACTCCCCCAGCAACAGGAGGCGTGAGAAGTGAGATCCTGTTCATCAGTGCCCTCTGCATGGGGATTCCTGGAGACCCTCCATGAAGACTGTCCCAGCTAGGCCCAAGGAAGGGGTGCCAGAAGTTGGCTGCTAATATGGCCAACAGTGTAGATCAAGGAAGTAGTTGGAGGGGTTTGTGGGCAACAAAGAAGAAAATCAGCTCTTGTTGCCAGCCTGACCTGGGAGACCCGCCTGTAGAGAGGCCCTCAGGTCCGGCAGGGGTAGCCCCAGGCTCCAGGAAGTCAGTTCTCTTCTCCCCTGCTTGCTCTTGGAGTCTCCCCTGCCACTGGTATCCTCCAGACTCCAGGAATCAGACAGCTTTATAGTTCAGACTGCTCAGAGGCAGGGAGGACAGGGGTGTCTCCTGTCTTGGGAGTCCAAGGCTTTACTCTCTGAACCCTTGTTCAGAAGCTGAGAACTGGCACTATGGGTTACTGCCTGTGATGGATGCCTTGCTCTGGGCTGTTTGGGGACTATTCCACCAAACTGGGCTGGGGACTAGTTCCCCAGCCATTGACGACCACTGCAGGAGGTAAGACAGAACCCTCACATTGTCTCCCATCTATTCATAGTGAGTTTCTATCCTATGCATTCCAGCTACAGTCAGTCAGCCTCATCTACCTTTATGACCTCAGGCTCGTGCTCTGCAAACTTTCCCTTCCCAGCACACAGGAAAAAGGGCCTGGACTTCAGGAGAAGGAGCACAGGCTCAGGGTCCCTGAGAGACAGAGGTCTTACCCAACCTCACACAGGAAACACTCTTTGAAGCAGGCATCTGAAGGGACCAGTTTGCAGAACCAGGAAGGGGGCGCTACAGTCAAGGACCTCAGGGCAGGGCATAGTGAGGGATGGGAGTGGAGGGTTAGTGGAGCTTCAGCCCAAGACACTGGTAGAGGCTGGTCTGTGATATGGCTATGAAAGGAGGTAGTGGCCAGATGGTGGCAGCTACCACGCCAGGCTGAGTGGGCTGTGCACACAGCAGGCACTTCCAGGAAGATATCAAGATACCAGTGAGGGACTCTCACAGGAGCGACCAGGTCACCAACACCCTTAGGCCTGCAGTTCTCTGGGAGCCCACCCCTCAGCTCCCTTTCTCCCAGGAGAGAACAATTTGTTTATTCATGAGCATACACGTGCTCCCGCCAGGCAGCCAGCTCCTGCACACCTCACTTCTAATTATAGCAGGAATTTCATTAATGCTGCAGGGAAATGCCAGGTTTTCAATGGTCCTTCTAGTAGGTGTGGGCCCCCTGCTTCCTCTCTGGGTTTAGAGGTCTCCCTTCATCCCAAGTGGCCAGTATGGCAGGTCCAGGTCTCCAAGGAGGGGATGGCACAGTCCCACAGCCAGCCACACACGCAGCACTGCCTCTGAGCCTCTGTGAGTGGCGATGCTGCCTTGTACACTGCCAAAGACCAGGGAGGGAGAAACAGAGCCGGACAAGCAGGGCCAAGGGTGGCGGCAGGTCAGGAGCCCAGGAGGTTTCTGCGGAGCCTGGAGGTGATGGGAGGAGACACAAAGCAGATGAGCTGCTGGGTGCCTGGCAAGGAATGGATCTGAGGATGAAGGAGAGCAGAGGTGAGAAGGGTTGGGCTCAGTGGGCTAGTCTGAGCAAGGCAGGGAGGGCGGCCATGCCAGGGAGGAGGAGGTTGTGCAGGACTGCTGGGTAAGAAAGGGCCAAGGAGAAAGAGAATCAATGAGTCACCGAGAGAGGCAGAGAGAGATAGAGACAGAACCATAAGCCCCATGCCTATGGGGAGAGCATGTGAAGTCACATTAGAACTGACCAGCAGATGGGGCCCAGACCTGAGGCCTCACCTCTCAGATGTTGACTCTCAATTCCCTGCTTGCCCTACCCAGCGCACAGCCTATCCATCCCAGTCTAGCCTCAAGAGCTTCAGCCTTTCTTGCTCAGTGTCTGGTACCCACAACACGGGATCAGTTGCTGTGTGGGCTTCCTGCGAGTCCTTCCCCTCATGCTCTCCTGCTCAGGCTCAAGGATGCTCCCCCAGTCCGCAGATGGCTCAGAGTCCAAGAGAGCTGAAGCTGCAGGTACCAAGGAGACACTACAAACGCTGTCAAGGGGCTCTGACCCTTCTGCCCAGAGTCCACGGAGCCAGACTGTCCTCGTGTCCTCAGCTTGGGAAAATGGCTAAGTTGTCCATTACCCTGGCTGTCACTCCACACTGTAACTCTACGTCTTCACTGATGACAACTCATAAGGACCCAAGATGATCTGTTCACTCAGGAAAATATCTCCGGGGCAGCCCCAGTGTGTCAGGCACTAGGTCACAGCCACAAACAGGGGTCACCATTTAACACACTTGTCTCGTCAGCATCTACTGTTCACCCATTACATCTCGTCTGCATCACCGTTTACCGACAGGTGGTAAAGCTGAGCCCAGAGGGAGACAGCAACTTCTGGATAATGACCATGAGTGGAGACTTCATGCGCTATAGACACTGCCCCTCTGCCAGACACAGGAAGTGAGGAAGAGGCTGCCGCCGTCCCCACCTGCTATTTCTAGGACAAGGAGGTATTGATTACCAGCCCTGCCTTGGAGTGGCTTTCTTTCCTTTCTCCACCAAAGCTTTCTGTCCCCTTTTTTTTTTTTTTTTTTAAAGCATAAACTCAGAGCCATTCCCATGATTAATTACCAGCTGCCTAATGCTCCGCCACTGGCAATCTCTGGAAAGGGAATGAATTACCTTGAAAAATATCGGAAAAGAGAACTCGCCGTGAAGGAGAATCAGAAAGGTTACCTGGCAGTTCACAGTGGATTATTCTAGCTGGGCAATACACCAGTAGGCCCCCATGGTGGTGGTGATGGTGGGGTCTGACCTCAGAGAACCACATGGGGAAGCCTAGGAATTGGATGGAGATGACTTTCCCTGAACCTCCATGGACCTCCCCTGCAAGCCTGTTCTCTAATCTCTTAAATCCTCACCTGCTGCCTAATTCTCACAGACCTCGATTCAAATCCTGACTCCATCACTTACAGCTCAATGGATTTCATAACCACAGAGCCTCTGAGGAAGGAAATAGTTCACAAATCTCCTCCAGGGGCTCTCATGGTGAGAAGCATGTATTCTAAGTGTATGGGGCCAGGGACGACGTGAACCAATGCTCACAAAGCTTGAACATTTAAAAGTACTAGTGGATTCTAAGCATCCCAGCAGCCCTGTCCACCTTGATGGCCTGCTTGGTTTTGGATGAGGACACTGGCTCTCACTGCACGGGTAGGACCCATCTATAGTCGCATGAACGGAGAGCTGAGGTTTCTGCCTTTCCCAGTTTGCCCTTCACTTGTTAGCCCCACCCCTGGGTCCCTGGAGCACTATGCTCCATAGAGAAGCTTTGGGCAGCTGGACAGGGATCTCCACTCTCCCTGGGTGGCTCAGGGCCTCGGTACCTTGAGACAAAGGGCCCTGGGCCAATGAGCATTTGTGTAAGGTTTCTCCCCTCTGGGTTGAGAGCCAAAGAGTAAACAGAGATTACACAGGTCACCCTTTGGTACAGAGTCAAGTGTGATCAACCCTGAAATGCCATCCTGGGATGAGACACACTGTCATCAGGCCAGAAGTCACATCTCTGTCACTCTCAGAGGAAGGGGATGGTTGGGTGGGTGGAGATGAGCATCCTGAGGAGATTGGTTGTGTGCTACATGTACGGATCCCTTGTCATCCCATCCCCATTTGATAGACAGGTAAGCTAGCCACAGAACATTTGCATAAGGTTCCAGTGGACAAGTGCCAGGCTTAGGCTATGTACCTAGCAGTGGTCGCCCTGGCAGTGGACACAGCTATTTGCTATTCAGGCTTCTTCCAGAAGGGAACCTGGGTCCATGGGGTTCAGGGTGACCAGGATACACAGTGTTGTTATGCCAAGGCTGGAGATGGCAGGCCTGCTTCCCAGCACTTCCCTGCCCTCATCCCAGATGCCATTCTAGAAACATGAGGCTAGAAAGGCCAGGGGGTGACGACTATAGGGAGTACATATCAGAAACTCGATGACGTCCCAGAAAAGGTGGTGGCACCAGATCCTCACCACAGGGCTAAGGGCTGAATCAAGGGCCCAGCATGGCTGGGGCTAACATAGGGCCCTAGCTGTGCTATATCCCTGCTTTCAGGAGCTGTTAGCAAAAGTGCCTGCTTACCTCAGTGATCCAAGAGTCACCAGTGTCCCTTCAGGTCAGCAGCTCACAGCCCGTTTGCCTCACTCCAGCTCCATCTTCCTGTGATGAGAAGAGGCGGTCAGTGTGCTCAGCTCCCACAGGGCCCACGATACAGAGCCTACTTGCACAGCTGATGGCCATGGGAAAGCATAGCAGGCAGGGCCAGCTGACAGATAGGAACCCCAAGGGGAGCAGTAGGGTGGTGCAGGCAGACCCAGACATCCCTGTGTCTGCAGACCCCACTCTGACTGTCCAACGGGACATTGACCTTTCTCTCAAGGTTGCCCACGGGAGGCAAGGGGAAGCAGCAGCACTCATTCACTCAAGAAACACTCATCAACACCTCTTGTGATACTGGTCTTTACCTTACAGAATATACCATCAACCAAGAATGAAATGCTACAACCCTAAAAGTGAGGTCTGATAGAAAGAACAAGTATGGGGGAGTGGCCTCTTTAGGAAGGTGAAGTTGAAGGATGAATCAGAAAGGTAGGCCAAGATGCAGGGAACCGAATCTAGATAGAGGGAACAGTATAAACAAAGATTCCAAGATGGGAAAAAAGAGCTTGGCGCAGTAGAGGACTTAAGCATGAGAGGTATGGCTCCTGGCAGAGATGAAGGGAAGGCAGGAGTGGGCAGGGCCGGTTATAGAGTGGGCATGACCCTATTTCCAGTTTGGGGAAACTACTGAGGGAGTAGGGTTTGGGTGGGTAGGAGGAGGTATGAAGACCAGTGGGAATGGAGGTGGTTTACTGCTCCAGGGTCTGAGAAGGCAGAATACAGAGCAGCAGGCTCCACTGGTGGCTGGGCTGGGTGTCAGGCAAGGTCATCCTCACTAGGTGGTCTCTGGCTGACCCCTAAGCCCTGGGGCTTTGGATGCAAGCTCTAATCACAACAACCTGTTCAAACCCCAGGTATATATGCCTGAGACACCGTTTTTTAAATTTCCCTGTGTAGGTTTCCTCAATTGTAGGGACAAAGGGCCCTCCCTTAGACAGACACAGATTGTGTAAGGCAATGTATATGGGATATGGATTGTTGTCTGCTAGTAGGGGTGTGGGTCACCCTGTAGGAGTAGAATCCTAGAGTTCCAAGCCCCCAGTGATACCAGGCAAGTAAAGAGTTCACCTCTTAGCTCTGACAGTCCTTCCACTTTGAGAACACAAACAGCCCTTCGATTCTATAGCCCCAATGCTCCATTTCACAGAGGAGGAAACTGAGGCCCACGGTCATACATGCAGCAGAAACTGGACTAGGACGAAACAGGAACAGTCTTTCTGCCTCCTGCCTCTCACCACCCACAACCCAGGTGCTTCCCAAAGGTGAGTTGGCTGGCAGAGCTTGCTGACAAAGAGAAAATGATTATTTTGTCAGTGGAGACAGAAGCCAGAACTGGAAAGCCTCTCTCATGGTGGACTTCATCCAGGATCAATGCCTGCCAGGCCTGCCACTCAACGTATCTGGCTCTCACTTGGGGTACCTGGCTCACAGTGTGCACACGTCTCTCTGTCCCTGGCAGCCCTAGACCCTAGGTGTTGGGCTTATGCAAAAGAGCAAACTGAGACCAGAGAGGCAAGGGACCTGTTCAAGGTCATACAGAGACAAGTGGGTCACTGGGATTTGAACTGTGGCCCCAGTCAGGGGTGTGAGCCTACATTAAACCTGAAGAGACAGGAACAGGAGGTCGAGCATTTATTGAATCCATATTGTGGGTTATGATGCCGGCAATATTTCCTTTAAGCCTCAGAGAAATGCTATGAAGTGAGGCCCAGAGAAGTTCTATAACTGCTGAAGGTCACATAGCTACTACAAAAAGCACACAGCCTGGCCCAGAGAGCTGCTCAGTAGCCTGCTTGAGTTAGCTATTATACCAAGGCTCCTCTCCCTAAAGAACGGGCTCAGAAACTAGGAGCCTATGTGGGGCTGTGGATATGGAAGCGATATAGTGTCCATCCCACCTGGCCCTGCTGCTGCCCTCTGCCATCGTTTCCAGTCTGCGTGAGCCGGGCCACCTAGCAAAGCCAAGGCAGGAGGTGACTTGTCCCTGGCTGCTCCCAGACAGAGCAGGCCACAGGGTAAACAGCAGGTTTGAAGGGCCCTGTTTTCTTCCTCAAAGGCCTTTGGTGTTGTGGAGGGCTGTGGGTACTAGGAGCCCATCCTGTCTCCCAGTGTTTGGGAACTCCTGCCTGGAGAAGGGTGAGAACCTGACCACAAGCAGCTTCCAGTAGCAACACAGAGGGGGCTGGGCTATGCCCCTCTTGCTGAGCAAGATACCAAGGCTCCAGAGGGAAATGTTCCTGGAGGTGTCATAGCTGGAGCATGAACAGGATGGGTCTTGCACAAGGCAGAGATCACTTTTGGGGTACAGACTGTCCCAGGGCCAAGATGGGTTCCCCCAACCATGGCTACCTTATCACTATCTCTGCCTCCTCTGGGGATCCCTAGAAAGACCTGGGGATAGTTTTGATGGAGATGGCAGTACGTGTTGGAGCCCTAGCCCGGTTTCAGTGGTTAGGTCAGAGGGCAGGGATGGGTAGGGCTAGGACTGAATCCTTATTTTGCTATTTACTGCTAGGTTGACCTTGAACAAGTCACTCAGCTTCTCTGAGCCTCCAACCCCTTTCTAAAATAAGGGGTAATTTCTCCTGCAGCTACTTACCCCCAGGGTACATTCCAGGTTGTCCTTGATCTTGGCCTACAACCCTGAGGGCTGAACAAGGTAAGAGGTGCTCTCAAGGTGAGGAGAAAGAGTGCAGAGAAAGGTGATTTGGGGGAGTATGGAACTGCTCAAGTCACAAGTGGTCCCAGAACCACCATCACATGGACACACTCATTCCTGGCAGATCTGCACAGACCTGAACCAGCTCCAGTCACCTTGGTGCCTAATCAGGACTAGGCAGCTTTCCTGCCCCCATTTTACAGATGAGCCAGATGACTGCAGAATTGGTACCTGAGCCTGGGGATCCCTTTGGGTGAGGATCCCCACCCAAACTCTTCATGGAGACAGGAATCTCCTGGGAGACCCACCTGGACACATCCCCTGATGTGACTGACCCTCAGCTTAGGCCCCTGGTCTCTCCTCTGAGGCCAGGGCTGGCTCAGGAAGCAAGGCAAATATTTACCCCTGATGGTAATCCAAACCTTATCCGAGGCTCCGCCCTCTGCATTCCTGGAATAAGTGTTCCCTGACCTCACCCTCACAGAGCTGAGTTATGGACTGGGATAGAGCCTGGCTCCCAGTTTCCTGGGCCAGGGCCAGGGAGAGCGAAGGCTTGCTGCCTGGAAGACCAGAGCTGCCTCAAACCTTCCTCCACCACACACCCACAGGGGACGCTCCAGGATGTTCTTGGAAAGCTACACACCCTCGGGCCTGCCAGGGTCTTGGCCAGTGTGCTGGATAGCTTTAGTGTCAACTTGACATACCTGGGTTGAGGGAGCCTCAGTTGGGGCATTGCCTCTATTGGACTGGCCTGTGGCCATGTCTGAGGGGCATCTTCTTGATGAGTGATGTGGGAGGACCCAGCCCACTGTGGGTGGTGCCACCCCTGGGCAGGTGGGCCTGTGCTGCATAAGAAAGCAGGCTGAGCAGGGGCCAGGGGAGCAAGTCAGTAAGCAGCGTTCCTCCATGGTCTGTGCTCCAGATCCTGCTTCCAGGTTCCTGCCCTGAGTTCCTACCTTGGGCTCCCTGATGAACTGTGACCTGGGAGATGTAAGATAAATAAACCCTTTCCTCCCCAAGTTGGTATTAGAGTGTTTTGTCACAGCAGTGGAGAAACAACCTAAGACAGCCAGGTAGCTGGCTTGCCCATAGAGGGGTATGGAGTGAGCTGTGTGCAAATGTCATTGGAGCCCATGGTTCAGGGTTAGTGACTCCACCTAGGAGCGCGCACACACACACACACACACACATACACACACAGAGACACACACATACACCCAACAGCTCCTGCTTCACCCTCCTTATAATCCTGGACCCCAGAACAGGAACATCCCATTATGCAGACCTGAAACTGCCCATCTGAGGGTAGATGCCCGGTGGCCAAAATGATGCTGACCCCTACCCCTACCTTCATCCCCATCCTCATCTCCATCCCCCTACCCCCTACCCCGCAAGGGATCTTTCCAGACCTTCCAGAAAATTTTGGTGGTTTCTTTTTCTTTCCTTACATAATTACAGTTATCTGTGCTTGAAGCCATGAGGGTCCGAGGGCAGGACCTGGCAGTCCTCATTTCAGGCAGGGTGGAGTCCTGTCCTGGGGCTCAGGGGAACCCTCAGCATCCCAGACTCTGTTCCACCTCACCCATCTCTAGGAGGTGACAGAGATAGGCTTAGTGGGATGGTTGCTTGGGGGTGGGGACTCCATGGCAGGGACAACTGAGAATCTTGAGGAGGCCTTGTATCTGTCTAAGAACTGCTTACAGCCCCATACCCAGTCCAGGGAAGGGGCAGGCAGCTGACCTATGGGAAGGTAGCAACTGCAGGCCAGGGGAGTCACCTACTGTTGGGTCCTTACATTTGCCTGCGTACAACTCCTACCCCAAGGTCTGAGACATTCTATGATTCTTGGGGTCATACTCTGGGACCCCAAAAGAGGGTGCTGGAATAGGGTCAGTGAGATTTGGTTCTCATTTTTAAAATGAGAACTGTCAATTAACTTCTAGAAACTGGCTCTCTCTCTCCTTCTCTCTCTTCTTTGTTTCCCTCAATTTCTTCCTTTAATAAAGGACCCCATGGCATAGGGCTAGAGATCTAGTCCAGGGCTGCCCCAAGAGCAGGCCCAGGCAGTCTGTGTTAGGACTGCTTGTTTCTGGGAGAGGGCCCACTTCCCTCTCCATAGGATTAGCCACAGGCACAGGGCAGCTTCCAGATGCACACTGAGGGAGGTTGGGGGTTTAGGGGGTATGAAGGGTGCTCCTCTCTGTGTTGGCTGTTTGATCAGGCCCTAGAGATGCTAGCACCTCCTCCCTGTTTCCAGGGGCCACAACTTTGATCAGAAGCACACCTGCTTGGGGTGGCCACTGGGCACCCACTCAGGCATTTGTCACATTCAGTGCTAAGG